TGCAAAAAAGCTCTGATAGGTTCAGTTTGTTGGATGTCAAAGACTCTGGGGGCCGCTGCCAGATTCCCAACCAGAACCCTCTGACATGTTCATTTATTTCATGGAGCAGGATTTTCCGCTGCTTTTTTTCGTTCAATCGGCGCTAAAGCTGCCAGAGTCCTGATCCTACACTAATAAAAGCGCTCCATGGCCAGCGTGGGTGTTACTGTAGAGCTGCACTGATCGCTTTGGGAAAGAAATTTCCTTAGCCCTGCTGTCGTCTGGGAAAGCCTGAGTCAGACCCATGAAACCGGACCTCATCCACACTTTTATCCATCCTCTTCACTCTCATCGTCTCTGTTTTTGGACTTTCTAAGGTGCCTGTTTTTGGAGACATGTAGTGCTATTTTTGAGCAGAAATTATATACTATAGGTTAAAATGCTAAATATGGAGCTAACATTATGTTTTGAGGAAAAAAAGGAAAACGGTCTACAGCCCAAAGCTTTAAGCCAGACAGAAAATATCCTGCTTCAGTGTTTTTTTCAGATGTTTCTATGCTGGGTTAAAGTTACTACTCTTCCAATGCATTTATTTATGAATATCTAAAATGTATCTAGGAGATCATAGAGTTCACATCTGGGGAAATTTCTATTTGGGAGCCAAGAATGTCACCTTTTTGACTGACAACAATGCTTTGCAACACTTGAAACTCAAAGAAACATCCCCATCCCGTAATGATTGATAGGCGATGATCCGCTGATGAATTCGATGTCTCAGAATTATTTTATTCATGGATCCAATGGACCAAACTGGCTTTCAGTGGTCAGTCACCTGTTTCTCCATTTGTCAAATTTTCTTTTAGGCAAACTGTAGCTTCTCCTTGGTTTCCCTTTGACATCTTCTAATCACTTACAGGAACAGCAGGTAACTCTGCTCGCTCTGCATCTGATTTTTAGCTGATTGGTTTTTGACATTTTTGGATCTTCTTCAATTACATTTCTTTTCTGATTTTCTACTTCTGGTTTCCATTTAAAGCATCTGAGACCATTTGAGCTCTGCAGCCTCATTTTCTGGATGTAATCATATGGTTTCCCCTCTTCAATCAATTTCATTGTCAAAGTTCTCTGTTCCTCTGTAACTTGTCTCAAGCAACCAATGTTGCTTAAACGTTCAGAGTAAAAATGCATCATAATCTTGTTGTTCTATATCTTTTGCTTTCAACCTGAAATATTTGCTTCCTGTTGGGCCTCATTGAATCATATACTCACTACTTTTATTTTAAATATTGGGGTGAAATGTTTAATTGAAGCTGCTCTCCTGTAATTGATTACTGTCAATACTAGTATTGAGATATTCATGTAGTAATGATTAAAAATAAAGCAGTTTTTTGTATCAAAGCAGGAAGTATTATGTCACCCCCGGAAGATTGTGTGGCCAACATGGCGGATATAAAAACGGAAGCGGTTAAAATACTTAAGAATAACTAAGAATCTTTATCAAGTGAGCGATCACAAAAATAATCCTGTTGACGAATAGGTCCTGCCCCTTATGTTGGCCCCTGATGATTTTTTCTCTTTAGATCAATGCATTGCTGCACTAGCCTCGTGAGACCATCCTGATCTTGCGAGCTTTCAAGGTTTCACTCGCAGATCAGTCTGGAGACTCTCCGTTAAAGAAAATTTGGAGCCGTTCACCAAATGAACATCCAATCAGCGTTGGCTTTGAGGCGGGTAGAGGTGTGACGCAACGAGAAGCGCGACAGTTCAGTCTAAAGAACATGGCGGCTTCAGCCGATGAAACTAGCGTTAGCATGGCTATCAAGCAAGTTTTATCGGAATTACAGAGTATTTCTTCACTGAAAGAAGAGCAAAACACTGCTCTGGAGGCTTTTCTCAGAGGAAAAGATGTTTTTGCTCTTCTCCCGACTAGTTTCGGCAAGAGTAGCCTGGCTTGTGGTTGTGTTTTCGTCGTCGCTCTGTTAGTACGTCATATGCTTCGTTGATCTGATTGGTTTATTTGGCCCGTCTATCACCAACACAGGCTAATCAGCTAACCAGTATTTTCGCCCCTTCCCAAAATTACTTTAACAGAAGGTTTCCAGATGGATATGTGGAGCAAATCCATCTGACGGAGTCAGGTTATTGCTGCACATCTGCATAGAAAGAATTGTCGATCAAAACATGAACATAATCCTTTTAGCCCCTGTTAGACGAGAACTAATCATGCAAGATGTCACCGGTTTCATGGCTGAAGCCGAAGCATTCTGTTGCTATGGCATTTGCTTTAGCTTTAACTGAAAACATTTTTGCCGTTTTGCCGTTCTTTAATAATAACCTCTCAGTCCTTGCTGTGAAAAATGACGGCTCAGTTCCTCTTTACTAACTTTTTATGGCATCTTCAAGCAAAAAGTTTTTCGATTGATTGAAAACTGTTGGATCTGTTGATCTTCTGTTAAACCTAATAGTTAATCATTTTTAATTTAGAACATAGCTTTTGCTACAAAAGGTGGCTGATCAGAATAACGATGGCAGACTGTTGCCCCTAGTGTTTGTGAAGAGAAACTACAGTTTCTGATCTGTCAAAGTGAGGAACTTTTGATCAATATGGGCAATTTGATAAGAAAAAAAAAATTAGCAAGAGTTGATAAAATAATAGCTTTTTCTGATTATAGTGATTGCAAGCATACGTGTACAACAAACAGGAAATAGACCAGACCAAGCCAACCATATTAGCTGCAGATATGCCACGGAGAACTTTCCCATGCTTTATAGTTCCTCAGATGTTGGGAAGAAGCTGCCCGTCTGCAGAAAGAAGGCCTTTAGGAATCAGGGAATTCCCACCGTTTAGCCCCACAGTGAAGGTATCTGTCGGTGGTAAACAAGCGTGCTGTTTTGTTCCCATAAACCACACGTCGCCTCCCTTGCTGCCCACCTTCCTTCCTGGCCCTTGTCATTAATAGAGAATTAAATGGCGCTCATAGTCCCAACATCTGGGAACAAGTCTCCAGTTAAAGGTGCTGCCTTCCATGTAATTACCCCCTGGTAGCATCAAAGCTGATGACCATGCTCTGCATGTTGAGGTATAATTTTTTACGTGTGGCAAATTTGTAGCCAGCATTCCTCTGTGTCCTTTGTCTGCTACTGGATAATAGATGTAAAGGCTTTAAAAGGAACATCTGAATTCCAAATGCTTGGTTTGATCACTTTTTTAATTTGATGATGTTTATTTTGCATGGCATGACAGTATGCACATATTTTTCAATAAGGCAGGTGTTCTGGTTTCCAGTGTTTTGCTTTCACTGGTTTATTTGAGTCGTGCAGCTTGTTTTCAGATGCAGCGACTCGAAACGGGAATCTGGATGATGGAGGCGGCTGGTTTGTAATCAGCATGTTTTCAATCGGTGGGTTAAAGTGAAACCATTTCTGATTGCTGTAATTACTCCTCCTCTTTATACTCCTCATTTAGCTGGCTTTTAACCAATAAATCTCCAGTGTTGGTGGTAGGAGAGAATTCCCACTTCAAAGCAAAACTCTGGCTAATTTTATGTGTTATTTTCTGTCATACTAATTTTGAGGATATTTTGCTATTTTATTGTCTTTGATTACACCAAGCGATTTCTTTTACTGTCCTACTTACCTTTCTTAATGTGTGGCTGACGAAATGTTTTAGTGGAGATCTGGTATAAATATATTCCTCAGAAAACCGTTATATAGAAGAAGAATATTGATATAAGTGAGAGACTATGTTCGTTTTTTACTTCCAGCTGCAAAGTGAGTTTTGTGTTTAAGGTGATCATATTTTTTTGTATTTCCGCTTCTTTCTGTATCTCTGCTTCTGCCTCCTATTGAAAGATCTTGACTTAACGGTCATTGTATTATAGTGTAGTTACTGTCTTGTCATTGTCTTGTTTGGACCGATCTTCTGCAGAAGTTTTGGTCTAAACAGAGCAATGAGGAAGAGGCGTTAATAACGCAGTCAATACCTACAAGGTGCCAGAAAAGCTTTTGATCATCACCCTTCCACCACCGTGCTTGATAGTTGGGATAAAGTGATGCTGTGTGAAGTTTTCTCCAAACATGGAGCTGTGTATTGTTAAACATAATCTGTCTGGAGGATATGGTAAAAAACAAAGATGTTCCAGCCTGATTTTCTTAAAGTGGAAACCAGCTGATGAACGTTCTCCTTGGTTCCTCCCAATCAGCCATCCTGGTTCAGTCTGTTCCTGTTAACCTGCTGAGGCCTGACCTAAAAGGTTTTGAGTTTGGGGATATTTCACATCTAATGTGACGTTGAGCAGACTGGCAGCTGCCCTCTATGTTTTTGACTTGGAAATAATGGTCCGCTCTATAGACTGATGGACCTCAGATGGTTTGGATGTTGCCTTAAAACCATTTTTTCGATGGATGGCTGCTTATTTAAGGTCATTGCTGATATTGTTCCATCTTGGCTTTATATTAAAACATACCTGCATCCTCCAGAGCCAGAGCCAGATGAAACCCCAAAGGATGAACAGTTAATCATTAAATCTGATCAGTAGGACCTGGATCCTTCTTTCTTTCTTGAACCTTGTGGAAGCTGCAGTTTTTATGCACAACCTTTCAGATTTTCTGTGTTGGTAGTCCACCTTTAGCATCATTTTTTGATGAATATATTAATAGATTTATTCAGTGTCCTTTTAAGCTGATAAACATTGATGGCTTGTGTCCGATAACTCAGTTCCCCTCGCAGCCCTCAAACCTGACTCCATGTTTTAGTCAATAGCCTCTTTCATGGGAGTTTCTCTCTTGTGGCAGCTGTGCAGAAAGTGAGAGTAATGGTCTTTATGTTGCGGGGGGGGGGCCTCATATTAAATCTGTAACTTGAGAAGCTGATAACAAGCAGAGAACGAGGAATGAGCTTATGAGGACGGAGGGTGTCAGACTCAGAAAAGGCTTTAGTTTCTCTGCTTCTTGTCTCATTATGTGGGAAACTGAGTATTTTTGTTTTTCCTAATTCGTTTCTCCGTTTGGGAGGAGGGTGAAAACGGCTCGAACAAGAGGGAGGAGAAAGCCCTGGCAGCGAAGGAGAAGGGGAGCAGCCAGACTTTGCCTGCTTATTCAGCTTTGAGTGCTGCACTGCGCCGCCTCCACTTGTGGGATGTTCTCATTCTCCTTTGGCTGCACTTCTCCTCCACTCGCACATTAGGACTCCTGAGGAATTTTTATGCTCATTTTCTTGGAGGAGGGCTAAGAGAGGGAGAGACTCTTCAGCCCTGATAGCTTAACACACACTTTTCCTCTCTTAACCTCCCACATACATACAGTGGTACGCTGCTCTGGCTCTGCGCTGCACCAAGGTAACTGAGTGGATCTAGCTTTAACCATCTGGTCGGAGCTCACAGGAAACCGTCTCAGAGGAGGTGGTGGGGAGGGAGGGAGGCGAAAGACGATGCAACACTAAAACACAGAACGGCAAAGAGTGAGAGTGATCCACAGACAGGCAGCGATCCGGACAGGATGGCCACAGCAGTGTTCCAGGTGAGCAGAGTGGAGGGGATGCTGTCCCTGTGTGAGGATGGAGCCAAGATGAAGTTATATCTGTTTGTTTCAAAGGTGCATGTTTCACGCATGCATTGAGGGTGAATTGCTGATACAAAGTTCATGCAAGGGGCTGGTTGGGATGTGTGAGTGTGCAGTTAGGAGTTGCACACTGTATTAATGTAATCTTTGTCTTTATGTAACGTAAAGCTCTGCTTGTTTCTCTCCGTGTGTGGTCTTCTTGGCTTCCCATGTGGTCGGTGGCTCGCAGTCACAAATGGAAGAACTTTCTATTTGTTTTTAAATCTCTCATTGTTTGATGAGAATCCCCCCCGAAGCCTTTTTGTTAGAAAGCAGTCGGCCATTCATTAAAGCGTACGTGTCTCTAAGAGATTTCAGCCTGGGTGAGCCTGCAGCCGTGAACTTGCCCGCAGCGTTTCACAACGGGAGCCTGCAGGAATTTGTTGCACATAAAAAAAAAAAGGCCCCAGGTGTGAGAAAACCTGGGAATGCTTTGGGAAGTCTCTGCTATGACAGGGAACCACAGTTGCCTCCTTTTTATCCTTATTGAGGGGTAAAGAAGGATGCTTTGCATTAATTCTGCTGATGCAATTTTTTTATTTCTATGTTTTGCGTTCCTGCAGTATGAAGACAAAACAGGCACATATTATGGAAATTTTGTGTTACACAACCTATACTGGAAAAAAATAAATAACTGGCTCATGGTAAGACTCCTAAAACATGATCAGTGTTTGAATCATTTCCATCAGTGTTTGAATCATTTCCATTTATAAAATAATTCACATTGTCTTTATTCAAAATAATTAACAAATATAAAAAGTATGAGTTTATATCAAGTTATATACTGAATGGAAAAAACAGCTTTTAGTGCATAAATAAACTACGTTGAAGCAATACAAATGGTATCTAGATAGATATTACTGTCCAATATCATTTTTATGTTATATTTAGTTACAAATATTTGCTCAAAATAAATGTTGAATAGATATTTTTTGCCCTTTTAAAACCGAAAAAGCCATTCCACTGATATTACTTCTTCTGGTTCAGTTGAATGCATCACAATCCTGCACTGCGTCACTATAACTCGCTCATGGCCAACACTAAACCCATCCCCTTCAGAGATGCGTACAAAATCAGCTGCTTATGGAAATAAGAGATGTGGGTATTTTAGGAATTCTTAATAAAAACAATAAATAAGTTGCTGGTTCAACTCCTCCAGCACCCTGATGTTCAAGCAGACTGCCTGCTAGCTCAGTTCTAGCATCATATGATTCCTGATGTTTTATCGCATTTACTCAAAGCCAAAACCCAGGATTATCTTTTAACGTTGTATCTTTTTGCTAAGTCATTAAAAAAAAAAAATGTTAAAAGGGGCTACAAAGATAGGTTAAAGTAAAATGAGTGAAGTTTTGTATTAAAAGGTGATCAAAGAAATCCAAAAAATGCAAAACCACCAGATTGAATTAGGTAAAACTAGAAGTCATTATTAAATAACTTAAACCTTAATCTCAAAAGTTTGATATTGAAACTCTGTGCTGATAGACGATGTTATCATCATGGCTCTATCAGAACAAAATCCTGATCTACTACTAGAAAAAGATTCAACTAGACCTGGTCAGAACAGACATTTAAGAAAACCTTGTTTAGAAGCATAAAAACTACATAAAACTGCGTGTAACAGCCTGGATGTCTACACTAGTTTTTGAGGCCCTCTTTTTTTAGTGGGAAAGGAAGTGGTTCTGGTGTTGACAACATTGAATGGTTAAAATCGTCTTGTTTGGATGATGAATGTGTTGACTTTCAAATTATTTGGCTGCATTTTCCACAATGGCTGGATCTCACTGCGAGAATAAATTGACACGCCGCTTAAAATGCTAAAGTTGGCGTCTGCGCTGTAGCTCCCAATCATCACTAAATTAAAAGGTTATTTCATGGGTAAACTGATCATGATCTATCCAACATAGAAACCACCTGCTGACCAAATCTGAACCAGAAACTTTTTATGCCGATCATAGTTTATGAAATAGCAATTTTCATCACTCTGTCTGGGTTTAAAGTTGTCACTGCTACTCTGACTTTCTTTGTTTTCTTTCATTAAATAGGCCTATCCAAAGACTTTTTGTACTGAATTAATGTTTAAGTAAAACTAAAAATAAAAAAAATGCTAACATCTGATGTGGGTAATATTCTTAAATGAATGGCCATCTGTGTTTCTGGGAATAAAGCCTCTATATGACAGAACTTCAACCTATATATTCTCCATCATGCTTTGCTTATGAAAAAGGGTGGAGGAACACGTAGAGCTGGGGCGTTTAGGAAGGTGTGAGTGGATCGGCCGTCCGTCTGGGATTTAGGATAAGGCAGCAGTCCAGTGACCATTGAAAAACCAAAAAAAAAAACACACCAGAATGAATTTTCATGCTCTTCTGCTGATGTAATGCCTCTGGGGTGTGTGTGTGTGTTCGACTATTTGTTGGGACCATTTTTATCATTTGTATTGCTGTGAGGACCCTTTGTAAAATGCTACTTTGGGGTTGGAGGTTAGGTTATAGACTAAGGTTTGGATTTTGTTCATGTTTAGGTTTTGGTTAGATATCAATGGATGAGTCTCTGTCAAGATAGTAGAACCAGACATGTGTGTATTTGAGTTGGTATTTTAATCCCTTCAGATACAGATCAACTTTTTGCCTCACTGTCTGTAAAAATAAGCAATGCTTCATTTAAGATTTCTTTTTAATTATTCATTAGGGTAATAATGCATGCTTTTAATTTTACACGTTGGGTTTTATCTCCAGCCATAACTCTGGAGGCCTGCTTTGCACAAATGCAATGTGTAAACAGCAGTTTCTTTACACCACTTTTTCTCTGGGCTCCATTCTGCACCTGCAGGACTTTGCAGACATTAATAATCTGTAGCACTGGCAGAGCTTTGTGCTGTCCACTCCTGCTTTTAGTGTAATTAATAGCATCCTGCCAACACAGAGTAAAAGCTTTGTTTATAAAGAACTTGTGTATGGTAGTTAGTCAGCAGAGTCAGAAGCTACTGTCCCAGGACATGGAGCTGCATAATACAGTATATGGCAAATCTAATAATATTATATTATAACTAAACAGCTGGACTGCAATGAGTGTTGGCTTATTATTTGACACCTGTGTACCCAGATTTCCTTTGGCTGCAAAACTTTTTAATCTTTTCTGTTTAATACAATGAAAGTTGGGGGAAAAAAGTAATGTTATTGCTTTAATTACTATTTATCAGCCAATTTACCCTACATTCAGTCTTGCAAGGACCACAAGAAGGTGCTCTGTAAACCACTAAACCCTGCACTACTGTTGAATGGGGTCAGAGTTTAAAAAAAAATACAACAAGAAATCACATCAAGCAGTTTTTAATATTGGTTTATATTAATTCAATGACAGGGTTTCTATATGTATGGTATATAACACATGGTTCATTTGTTGACCACTATTTTGATTAATAGATGAACAGTTTGGTAGCAAAAGGTGCTTACAGAAGTTTTATTTAACAGAATGTGAACCAGATGATGCAGAAACTACCAGCCCATGAGCTTTTCTTAGCAGATCATATTAATAATAGAAAAAGACTCTTTATCTTAAATGTAAAATCATTTTTTTAAGCGAGTAGCTGGTTTTGTAGCTTATATAGTCGAGTTAATGTTTGGATTCATTACCAAATTATGATGATTGTTTCAATCTATAAATGGTGAATGGATCTCTCAGCCCTTATTAGAAGAGTTGTTCCTCTCCATTGTCACCACATGCTTTTGGAGGATAAGTGATTTCTGCAGGTCTGTGAGTCGATGAAATGGCTCATGAACTAGAGGATGATTTAGAAATTAGTATCACATGATATACAGAATAGGTGGTTTTATAATGAAGATTGAATTGAAACCAATGTAATAGGATTTGAGTCAGAATATATGATTAGATCTTTATTGAAAGGAATTGCTTTAGTTTTAATTACATTTGATCAAATTGGATTCTGTGTTCTTGGACATGAATATAGTCCGTTTGTCTTTTAAAGAGTTCAAGACATTTGCCGGAAGTTAGCGCCGTTTACTTAAACTACATTGATGAAGCATCCCTCCATCCTTTATAAGCCTGTCTGGCTTCAGGATCAGGTGGAAAAGGCACTGAAGGGTCATTTAGTTTCAGGTCTCCTTTGGTTGTTCAGTCAAATCTGCAGGGAGAGATACATTTTATAGCTCAAATGATATAAAAAAACATACTCTGCTCTGTCATTATACTGAGAAAGTGTCAGATCTCACAATTATATTATCCCAGGGTTTTTTTTAAATATGTCCTAAGCTGTCGTAAAACGTTGCAGTTCAGATTTGGATCAAACCAGCCTCTTGATATCTGATGATTGGTGTATGGATGCTGATGAGTGGAAGGATGGGTGTTTGATGGATATTCAGTCAGTGGGTTAGATGACCTGATGGGTAGATGGGTCAATAGACTGTTGAACCCGTAGCAGGATTGATTGGTCTTTTTAGACTGTAGAAGGGAAAGAAATATCTCAATGCAGAAATATTTCTGATTAATCCCATTTTCCAGAAGAGTAGAGTTCATTCCAGGTCCCTCAGGTTGTCAAGACAGCAATGTGACGTGCTAAAACTCCTTCGGGTATCGGAGAGATTTTTGTTCAATAACATCCTTCAGATTATTCAATATACTGGCAGAGTGATGTTTGGACCCACCCAGTGTAATCAAAGAAAACTGAAAAAAGCTGCAGTTCTTTTCCATATGACTGAGCATCCATGTGAACACTATGTGAAGTATGTGGCTACGTTGGTGCCAGCAGGCCATGCAGAGGGTGGAGAACGTGTTTTCTTCTTTCTTCCCTTCCTTCTCTTATCAGGGCTCCAGGTCTCCATGTGGAATGCTTGGAGGGGGGGCGCAGTCTGGTTTCCTTGCTTTTAGCAGCCAGCCCCGGTATTGTTGTTTGTATTATGATG